GGGTACACCAAGTGAACCGCGGAGATTCAGGAACAGCCCGACAGCCACGGGCGTCTGAACAAAAAGCTGGTACCAAGAAGGAGCTTGGCACACAGGAGGGCCGAACACTTTCTCACTGTGTCTTGTTCATCCTTGTCTTAATGTCCTTGTCGCTCTACTTGATTGCTTTGCTTTCTCGAGTGTTTCCTCTGCCACTTCTCTACCCTGTGCCTGCTATTTCTCCCTTCCGTCCCTCTCCTCCTCTTTCAGCCTTGTTTCTTTCAGTTGTTGGAAAGTGCGGCTGTGTTGTCCCTTTCCCCTTTTCACTCCTGTTGGTAGGGCTTCCTCTCTTGATTCCTCTCCCTCTCTCTTCCCTTCTTCTCCCCCTTCTTACTGTACCTGTGCCTCCCCTGTGCCCCGTCCTGTGCCACGCCCTGGGGTGTGGCGTGGGATGTCTCCCCGGGGTGTGGTCCCCCTTCGTTGGGTCTACGTGGTCTGTCCGTTTCCTGGTTTGAGTTGTGGCTTCAGCTATGGATTCAGCAGCACGTCGCAAAAAACGCGCGGGTTCAAAGCTTTCGCTTCGTGCCCCTCGCTCAGCGGCGATGGCGCGCGGGCGCTTGGTGGAACTCCCGCGTGAGCGCGAGATTCGCGGCGGTAACTCAGCGGTACTGATGGCAGCGTCGGTGTAGCGCTTACCGAGGCGGCGCTAGCGCTGGCCGTTATTATACAAAAGTTGAGTTCGATTACAGGCTGTTTATGGCTGCGCTACATGCCTATCGCCAAGGAACCTGAACAGGTAAGCCTTTGCTGTCTCTCTTCCTCTCTAACTTGCTCTCGCTCTCTCTGATGCCCTCAAAGCTTGAGGCACTCATCCTCACCCACTCGCTGTCTCTCTCTTCTCTCTCACTTTTGTTTGCTCAGACTTGGATCGCTCGCTCTCACTTCCTGAATGCACTCGGCTAGGTCTACCTTGTCTTCGTCAACATTGCGGCTATGGTCGCTATCTTCTTCCTCGAATACCTACTAGGGTGCTCGATCGCCCTTTTCCTTCCTCAGTCGCCCAGGTCGTACAAGCGCTGCAGCGGAGCTTCCGCAACATGATGCAGCACCGTAGCAACTATAAATAACAGCTGAGGTGAATCTTCGTCGACTCCAAACAGGTCCCAGTCAATGCAGACTGTCAGCTGCTGTTCGCCAGCTCCGGAACTTGTCGGACTCCCCCTGGATGCTGCTGCAAAATTGGACCTTGGGACTTCAGACTTTTTCCGTTGGGTACCAGGTCTACGACTTCTACCGACGTAACTACCGGACCTTACAAATATACGACGCTTTGCCATCTAGGACCTGCCAGACTTCTAGGACCTAGACCTGGGACCGACTGGGACCAACCCAGGACTGGGCTCAAGTGAAACTTTGGGACTGGCACTCGGGATCCTAGGACCAGGACTCGAGTCCCCTCCCCGCAGGACCCCGGGCCTTTGTTCCACAAGCGGTTCCAGGTGACCTTCCTTCCCAAGGTCGGACACCCCTATCTTGGAGGCGCCCCTCTCGATGACTTCCAAGTGGCTGACAATGCCGGTTTTCTGACCATGCCGGTTTGCTGACCATGTCAGTGGTAAGGTTGTAGTATTGTGACAACTGCTCCGGGCTTGTAGTCCCTTCTATCATCAAACCGTGAGAGAGTGCTTCCTTGATGTGTGTGGGGTCATCGAGGTCATGAAGGAAATGGGAGATGTCCTATTTTCCTTTGCTGGGGCGGCGTCTGCATCCTTTCATGTGCCAGCTTGTGGTCCCGCGGACCAAACTTTTTCTTCCAATGGTTGCACGACCTTCTCTCCTCCATTAGGGTGGTCTATTGGATTCATTGCTGTACCTCTTACTTTCTTTAACCTTGCCAACGTTTTGATCCTGCCGTTCCTATACTTTGATTGTTGAATTCTGGATTTCGTACGTGTCTGATGGTAGCGAAACATTTTTGATATATTAGACGTACTTCTCCAGATGGTAATCTTATAGTTTGATTCCTTTCCCTACACAGACCCAGTAATCAACTTTCACATGGCATTTGTCGGATAGGTCTAGGATTTTGCCACTACCAGGGCCAGGATTCAATTGGAACAAGGTAGTCTTTTCTTTACCCCTCATCTCAAGTCGGCTATCCTGCTTGTCTTGCCCCATTTCTTGATGCGAGACAGCCGAGGTGGCAGATGAAGATTTCCTCGCAGAGTAGATCAGAGGAGACAGTACAGACTAACACTATGGTCCTACAGCACTCCAGCAATTCCCCTGAAGTGAACCACCAGGATGACTGAATGCACAACCTGCCCTCACCTGGGTATATGCTACAGCATGAGCGGGCAGATATTCGGGCTGTGGTGCCTGCGAAGGAACATCAGGCTCAGTCCCCATCACAGGGATGCAGGTCAAGTTCTCAGAAAATTATACTTTGCCCCTTTTTTCTATACTTAGAAGTTAGAAGCAAGACTAATGAGAGAGATTATCAAAGCATAGGTATTTACTATTTAGTCATTGCCACTTGATTTCCATGCAAGTTCGAAGCAAGAATAATGAGAGAGAGTATCAAAGCATAGGTATTTAGTCATTGCCACTCAATTTCCATGCCTGAGGACCCTTGTCTAGGCTATCAGGTATGAGGCCTTTTCCTCGTTTCCTTAGCCTCCTGCATCCACTACTTAGTAAATTCCCTGCTTTCTAGACCTCCATACCTGGACTCGCCACTGCAGACCTCTCTACATTTTTAGTAAACCGTAAACCACTACTCCCTCGGACAGTCGAAAATTGGCTTTCCGGGCTTGTTGGCAGTCAGTACGGACGAAGGAAGCCGAGGTAGGTGGCAAACCGGAGGTTGGTGGCAATTCAAAAAAAAAAAAAAACAAGCGCCAACTTCGGCAATTTTTTGCGCTCAGAAAAACGCACAGGGAAATCCGAAATTTTCAGTTCCCTAGGTAAGGTCCTAATTTTTCCAGGGAAAAATCAGAAAAATGAGATTTCTTTTTGACCACGAAATAAATCATCAGCGACTGTTCGGCACATTTTTCATCTTCCTGCTGCCACATGTGGGCCAACATGATTTTCGCAAGGGCAAAAGACTAAAAAGTACAATTTCAGTGATTTTTTACGCTCTGAAAAATGTGTAAAGAAAAACTGAAAATCGGAGGACCATAGATTCACCCCTCATCTTTCCAGGAAAGTTTTTAAAAAATGAATAAATAAAAAAAATTAACTGTTGAAATAAATTGCAGCTGCTGCAGCAGCAATTCGATGCATTTTCCATTTTCGCCACTCACCGGTTCCCTGACGCTTATTGCTGGACTGGCCGAGCCAGCTGAAGGGGAGGACTTCACCCCGCAGCGAAAGGCATGGCAGTAATGCAACAGCCCGCTAGTCTGGTAAACAAAAGCCAGCTTTGGCAGCAGCCTAGCTGGACCCCGCTGCACGGGTAGCCGTGCAATGATCCACCAGTCTGGGCAGCACACAACAAGCTATGACGGCCACCGACCAGGACCCTGCCGTATTAGGACTCTGTCGCAAGGGCAGGTGCGTGAGGATCCCCCAGTCCGCGCAGCACCAGACTAGCTATGTCGGTCGCTCCTCCCCTACTCAAGACAAACAGCAGTGCCTTGCCTTACCTGGTCAGGCTGGCCTCCCCCACAACATGCCTACCCACGCCCCAATGTTATCTGGCACTCCCTGCCCTTTCTCAACATTAGCGATTTCTAAGTGTAGGGATCTTTTCCTGTGTGAGGACCCTTGATCCCGTTGATCTTCAGGCCTCAGGACCGATCCCGTTCTAATGTTAGAATGGAACTTGGAGCTTGTCCCAAGCTATCTTTTGGACAGAGCCTACTGGCCCCGACCTGGGAATTGAACAGCCAGTTCCGGGCTAAAAGTAGCCCAATCTGAAAAATAGACGGCCCCCTTCATGGATCCAAAGGGTTGGTCTAAGAATAGACACCGTCCCTTTCTGGAACCAAAGTAGACGGCCTCCCTTGTATAACCGAACAGTTGGTCTGAGAATAGATTGCCCCCTTCATGGGGATGGAGAGCCTCGGGCTGGCCGACCTTGAAATAGGAAGGGTCGGCCATGCTACGGTTAGCGCAGGCCTGTTCTAAAAGTGGTGTAGGCCTCCACTACTATTAGAGCTGCTCAATTCAACAAGACCCAGCCGAGACCTCCTCGCTTAGCCCCCTCAGACCACCGCATGACTGAGGATCCAAGCGCCGCGTTGAACACACATTTTTATGTCCACGTCCTTGGCCCTGAGGGTCATATCAGCTAGGCCAACCATTGCCGTCTATTCGGAGAATTTCGGACCCATAATACGCATCCTGGAGGCTGACAGGCTTACCCGGACTTAACTGGTGGTGTGCTGTGAAGAAGGAGACAGTGCTTCGCAGTTGAAGGGCCAGTGTTGTCTTCTCCAGTGTGTTCATCATTGTGCGGGCTGTTGTAAATCCTGTGCCAGAGAGTTATTGACTCAGGGGGTGGCATTGCACATTGCGAGGTCCCGATGGTGCCTGCTGAGGCATCATATTGAACTAGAGAAGCCTGGAGATGGAAGAGGGTGGAAAGAGACGAGACTTGTGCATTCTTCTTCTTACTGATGATCAGGTCTTGTGTATTCTTCTTCTCACCAATTATTACGTTTCTGTTCTTCTCCCACTCATATTTTCCTGTCTTGTCACTTGGACTACATTGCTACGTCATTCCGTGTGGCCACTTGTTGAACATAGCGAGTATTTTTCTTGATCATGATGGCATGCACTGATGGAGTCTAATTCAATACATACTGTTGTGTGGAAAAAAGCTTTGTGGAATGATCAATTTTGTGAGCGAACTTTAAAGTCTGAAGTACCCTCTGCAGATGTGTCGAGTCTGTGGACAGAATTGCACCATGAGACACAACGCATGGTATAATGCATGATTCCAAAGTCGGAGTATGAGAGAAAAACGACATATCTGACAGAGAATAGCCTGGACAGTAGGGAGGTCATGTTACCTAGGCAAAATATCCACCACTCCAACAGCTACGAGTCTGCAAAGAATCCCACCAGGAGGCAAACAGGATAGCTGTGTCAGGACACTGTGAATGATTGCAACATGGAACTGCCTCAGAAACACCAAATTAAAACATCACCACACCCTTCAGCTGTGAAGACCTCAACTCATCCAGTAAGTCGACACACAACGCTGCTCATGGTGAGAAACATTTGGCTGCCTTACATCTGCACTGGCAACAGTAACTAATCAGTTCCTAACACAAAGGGATGAACTAGACTGCACTTCAGACTACAATGCCACTATAACAATCTGGTGTTAAGTCTCTCGTCTCAACAGTAAAAGGCTGTAAGTGATTTTAGCCATTAAGTCCGCAAACCTTGGTCGTTCACAGAAGTGATCAAATGGAGAACTGAATCATACCAATAACACATGAAGGAGCCATCAGCTAGCCAAGAAGGAAGTTCCATATAACATACACCTGTGGAAATCGCTTGTCTGCAGGGGATGATGAAACAGCATGTCACATGAAGGCGGGCAGCACCTACCCATTTCGCTCCTCCTCCATGTCCTTCCTGCTCCAGCTCCTCCTCGCCATTCTCATAGTTGTTGTTCTCATCTCCCTGTTCCCCCACTATTTCCTTATCCTTTTGCTCCTGCTCTCCTTCCCCTTTCCCCTTTTACCTCTTCCTTTCCCTCCTCGTCCCCTGCTTGCCTTTACCCTTGAATCCTCCCATCCTCCATCTCCGCTTCCTTCCCCTCCTCCTCTCCCTCCTCCACATCCTTCCCCGCCACCTATCATTTCCATCCCTTCCCTTCGCCCCCTTCCCTTTCCAACCTCCTTTCCCCTTGGCCTTCATCTCCTTATCATCCTCCACATTCTCTGGTGCCTCCTTATAGAGGGTGTCAACATTTCATAATCCTCCTCGTACCATCCTATCCATACCCATTCACTTGGATCGTTTGCATGTTCTGAATTCCATTTTCTGCCTTCTGAGCATCTTCTGATTCCCATCGTAGGGATCTTTGAGCTTCAGTTGACTTCCAAGGACTTACCTTCCGTCTATGCGATACTGTTGATGAAAGGCTCCCAAACCACACGATGGTACATCTGCAGATGTAGACTGTTCCACAGGCTGTCATTGAGCAAAGCGAACAAAAAAAACATCTCAACATCAGCCTATTATCCTTCCTCAATGCATTTCAGGGTGTCACACGAGCCATGCTCTCTCTCTCTCTCTCTCTCTCTCTCTCTCTCTCTCTCTCTCTCTCTCTCTCTCTCTCTCTCTC